GATTCCTTCTCTTAGTTCATATTCTCTTGGTAGTACAAATTAAAAATCGGGGAAAAATATTTTTAATTTTTGGCAAGTCTTTGAACGCGTGCGCTCTTATACCGGAAGTCCAAGAAATCCCGGTCTCAAAAAATGGATTCTGCCAGAGCCTTCGTTCTTCAACGCAGGCCAGAAGAAACGCAGGCTCTGGGTACGAGATTGTTGCTTACCTTGCTCAACTCAACAAGAATTTTTTCCACGTCACAACTTGCGTCTCCTCTAAGAGCATCCTCCAGAGATCGATCGAATTCTGACGAGAATAATATCACGTGATCACTGCGCAGTTCATTTGATCTCTTTTGAATGAGAGATAATATGCAATAACTGCGCAGTATGGTTGCGCATGTCAGTCACGTGCGTGATGTCAATAAATCATGTGATCGTGTTGCGCGGAAAACTTACTTTAGCGTTTATTAGAAAAATTAAAGTTCAAGGGAAAATCTTGTGTGATGATTAAATAAAAGTGCAAAACAACTTCTGCGCACGTCAAGGATAATGTGAAGAACCATACCCTCAAATTTTGCACGGGACTCTATTTTTTAATAGCTCATTCGTAAAAACTCCTAAAAATCTAGGTTATATCAACATTTATAAAAAGTTTATATTTCTAACACATGAAAAAATAGATTTTTGTAAGGATTTTTGTTCGACTTTATGAGATTTTTTAAGAGCACCGAAACTACAAAATATAACAAATCAATGTGTCTCTTTGTCTTTTTGTCGAAAATATCCGTGTATTATTGTAGAATGATTGACTAGCCTTCATTTGTGCAATCATAAAGTCTGCAAATAACTGTTATCTTATGAATCTTATTTTTTTTCTAATTACTTCCGATGGCGCAAGTTTTGCTCCAAAAGCTCGAGCGTAGGCTGCCATTAAATGCTGATTATCTCGAAGACAAGCTCGGGACACCCAATTTTTCTTTCTAGATTTGGAATCAGCATCAAATTTCGATTCGGAAAATCGAAGTTTAAGAAAAAGTTTAAATCGTTTTCCAAAAGTAGGGAGTCACCTTAAAGAATCTCAGACACTTACGTTTATGGTACTCTTCTCTAATGGCATCCAGTTCCTAGCAGGCGAGAAAACGAGGGACAAGATTTTTTTTTATTAGTTAGTTTAGTTTATTCGTGTAATGCATCTATTGAGTTCGGGCGAGTACGGTAGCTCTCTTTCCATTTAACTCCCTTCCTGATTTGAAAACGTGCAGAATTTAATAGACCGCTTTACCTTTCGTATGCAAATTGCCTATTTCAGACCACGTGACATTCCCTAAGAATTGTTCTTTATGATAAAAAATTTAAAATATTAACATATGAAAGAATGATTTCCCAAGAGTGGCTTCACCTGGTCTGTAACTATTGAAGTTTACGTTACTATCTGTAATTTAAATTATTGAAAGAAAGAGGTATTTTATGACCAGTTTATCACAGGTAACCCGGTAATTACATGTTATTTTGATTCATTTTTATTTGGGACCATACCTCCAGACATCAAGTGCCGAAGCGCAGTATGGCAGCGCGAAGCATTTACGGCTACGCCGGAGATTTCGGCCCCSACACCGCTATCCAGTGACTGATCAGGAAGCTCGGCCGAAGCCTAAGGGAGAAGTAGTATAGGGGATGGGGGTTCCAGCGCAACGACCACACGAGGATCACCCGCGTAAAGTCATCACTCGTGTTTTACCCAACCCACATCCCAGGTACTTAAATATGTTAGTCTATATATGGAGTGCGAAGAATGTAAAGAGTTTGTAAGTGGATTATGTATAAAGTGTTTAAGACCCAAGTTTGTACCTAGTAAGCCAAATAAGTTTGTTTGTTGTGGTAAAAAAATGCTAATAGAAGAAGATACTTCAGCACAGTGTTACGAGTGTGGTAAGAACATTCGCAATGCCGTACCTTGTGCTACCAGGGAACAATATTACTCTAACGGAGGTCGTAAGAAGACCCCATACAAAAGAACAAAGTACTTTAGAGACTGGATGAGTCACATCCAAGGCCTTCGGCCGGTATATTTAGACAACGAAGTAATGGAAGCGCTCAAGTTAGCAGAACCAACTACGCAAAGCTTAAGGAAGACATTGAAAAAATTAAAGCTAGGGAAATATTACAAAGGTATTCCCTATCTTTTGTCTGAAATTACCGGCGACTCTATTCCCGAGGTTTCTGAAGATACTATGAGAAGGGCAGAGTGGATGTTTTGTCGGTTGGATAAGGATATTCCTTATTACCCTGAC